GTATTTATAATATGAAATTGGATATAAAGTAGTGAAATCATTTAAAAAATCTATAAATAGTTACATGAAATTCGACTGCTAAAAAGATTAAATGAAATTAAACTATACAGGAGGCCGCTAACTGTATTATACAATATTATACACAGGAACGCACATCACGTTGGACACAGAACGCGCATCGCGTATGACACAAAATGGCTTCTAAATTCTCAATGTCGCAACTCTTTCTATCTATGGCTCTCTGTACATAACTAAAATATACCACTACTAAACCTACCTTGCTTGTTGGCTGGATGAAGTTATGTGTCGAGCAAACCTTTAATTGTCGTCTGTTTCGATTTCACGTATCTCGTGTATAAATAATAATACTATAGAGGCCTTTTGACTTATTAACAAATTATTATTCACAGTAACATGCTGACCTCATGCTTTCAGGATGGTTGACTACGCATTTGGCGGCTGAATTGATGAATTCGGATGTAGTGGATCTATATAATAATAAGTTTCACAAGTCCCAAGGTCAGATCAGCTTAATGTTTATAAAACAAGAAATAGTGAAATGAGCTGTACCATAAATCGTTTATAAAGAACTATTAACAAAATACGATAATGTAACCTTTGAACTTTCAAGGACTCTATTATGGGATGTTCCCGCGGAGTCTCGCTCTCTCGTGGGGGTTCGTCGACTAGCCAAGCTGCGTCTTGTTGGAGGCTCACACTTTGTATGGAATAAAACCGTTAACATCCAGCTTACTTGGTGTCTGGGTCATTCATTGAAGTCCGAACTCATCTAGTAACATCCATAGAGAGTTACAATAAAACGACTTGTTTTTTATTTGCAGAATCAAAATTGGCCTATAGCTTGCTAGGCCTTCATCTTCTCGATTACCACCTTTACACAGGACCGTAATAATCTTAGCCATTTTAAAAATTCCAATTAAAAGTGACATATTTACAATAATAATGATAATAATAATGATAATAATAATAATGATGATAATAATAATAATAATAATAAATAATAATAATAAGGTTGAGAACCGTGGTTCCATATTATACAAATGGTCCAAATTATGTTCTGTAATTTTGGACCTGTGTTTTATTCGAGCACAATAAGGACCGGGTGTGAGTATTTTATAGTGAAATTAACATTTTACAGCAAAACATTGACCTAGGGTTACTTTTCAAGTGAGTGGGTCAATGTTTTATCATCGTCTTCTGAATCCCTGCTAAATATTCTTCAAGATTATGGTCACGATTATTGAGTACACAATACCACACTCAGTGTAATTGCCTGGTGTATGGGTTTACTCAGTGTAATTGCCTGGTGTATGGGTTTACTCAGTGTAATTGCCTGGTGTATGGGTTTACTCTGTGTAATTGCCTGGTGTATGGGTTTACTCAGTGTAATTGCCTGGTGTATGAGTTTACTCAATGTAATTCCTGGTGTATTGGTTCACTTTATTTTAATAAACTTTTGTTTGAAGCTGGGAACTCATTGCGCCCGACGGTCGTCTGCCGACGCCATCCAATGAAGAACGCAACGGATAGTTTTTAATCCGCTCAGACTGCATGCCACACTGTAAATCAGCGTGGAGCATTTAAATACAAAGCTCCACGCAATGTTGTCCCGTTTTTGGTGACACGTTTAAAAGCTAAACGTGTTTAGGTCTGGCCTAATGTGTTTAGGTTTCTGACGTGTTTTAGCATGCCACACTGTAAAAACAGCGTGGAGCATTTAAATACAAAGCTCCACGCAATGTTGTCCCGTTTTTAGTGACACGTTTAAAAGCTAAACGTGTTTAGATCTGGCCTAATGTTTTTAGGTTTCTGACGTGTTTTAGCATTAGATGTGCTTAGATTTTTGACATCATGATGTCAATACCTAAGCACATTTAATGCTAAACACGTCAAGATCCTAAATACATTAAGCTATCTCTATACACGTTTAGCTTTTTTACAGTGCACTGACGGTCAGCAAGCGGCGTTGCGTGGTCTACCCCGGATTCGTCGCACGACGGTCGTACGACACAACAAGTGCATAGCTTTAAAAATAATTCTGCTTCTGTTATATGAAGTAAAACATTTACATTATACACTAAAAGACAATTATATTCTTTCAGTAAATTACATTTTTATTAAATATTTTACAAAAGCATATATGAAGTAATGTTAGAAAATTGAAATATTGCATATAAAAAACTACCGATAGGCCTACATTAACCAATGAGCCTTACTGTATTCGATATTGTAGGCCTACCTTCTACGTTTACTTTTTTTACATTAATGTATCCTAATGATGGGAATTTCAACTCACACATTTAAATTCAACATTTTTACAAAAGAAAAGAGACTTGGTTGATTGATAATTCTTATAATTCATAAAATACGTATTGAATAAGAATTAATACAAATTAGGTGCAATAATGTACGTCCCCGTTGATGTTTAGGCATACAGTACATGCATTGTAACATTTGGCTCAGCAGAATAAGCAACGATCCAACACTAGCATTATAATGGAGCAGAATCCTGAAAAAAAATAAATATGAAAAAAGCGATTACCGCACAACTGAATTTTGCCCAACAAAACAAATCTCAGAATTATCTTAGCAAAATTTTGAATCACTAACTATTACTTACTACAGTATTATTTTACTATTTCAAGTCCTCGTTCATAAAATCTGTTGTATACCAATCATGTGATTACTATTTTAATGGTACGGTTTTCCATTTCTATAGCGTACAGAATAATAAAATGTCTCTATGTGCTTTTTTACCCAGCGTCAAGACAGAAAGAAGAAAACAACATAAAGAACAAAGAAAGATAAGAATTTTGAAAAATGAGATTTTCGTTATAAGCGTTGTTATGTTATGTGTTAACTACATAGTCCAGAAGCAGTGGCGTATCTACGGGGGAACAGAGGGAAGGGGCCCACTCCCCCAAAAATTACTCCCGCCTCCCCAACCCCCCAAAATATAGTTTAAAAACACCCAAAATCACCTTATTTTGCAAATGAGCGCCCCTCAACTGATCATCGAGCCCCCCATCATCCCCGGCCCCATCTCCCACCACCAACCCCCCATTTCATGACTTGTAGATACGCCATTGTCCAGAAGGAAAAAACTCGGGTTTATTTTCGTTCATTTTAATTTTTTCTCAGATGTGTGGTGTTTTTACCAACGTCATTTTGGTTAAATTATTAAGTATTTCAGTTCAAGTAATCTACCTGCTTCTTTGCTAAGTAAATTTGAGAAAACGTCTATTCGTGTGCATAAATATATTTACATTCTATTGCTTTTATTACCAAACATTATATAATTATTATTGTTTTTGTTGTTGTATAGAGGACATCTTTAAATAATAACAAAAATAATGTTAATTACTATTATTATTATATCAATTATATAAATATGTTTATTATTATTTTCCAAACACAAATATAATCGCCAGACATCAATCGAATAAATGAGTTAGTTAGATATATGGGGTATAAGGGGTATCAGGTGAGAACCGTGCAGGGAGTATGTTTGTGAGGGGGTGTGTGTCTGTATGTGTGTGTGACTGGAGAAAGAAGGAGTGTCTATGAGTTGTTGTGAGGCGATTGATTTGGGATTGTGTTTACCATGTTTGATCTGCAGCAGGTGCAGGATGAAACAACCAGCACGATGGACGTCACAAGAGTAATGGCTGAGAATAGAACCATAAATACTGCGCTGGGGATAACATACTCAAAATACTGCAAAATAAACATTTCAAATCCTGTAAGAATTATACAAAGATCATGTGATTTAACAGTATTACCTATAGAGAGGAATTCGATTAGACACTGCTATGTTTTGTTTACTATTCTAATAAACTGTATACAAAATTAATTATCAGTCAAATAGGCTAGGCTTTAGTTTTATACATATTAAATCTAATACAACAGAACGCCCTCCTTTGGTAAAAGGAGACACTTCTTTTTAGGCAAAGCAAGGCAAAGAAACTAAACAGGGAAGTAGGGCGTTTACCGTTTTTTAAGCTGCGGCTAACCCCTACACAGGGGACACCACTATTAGGAAGACACTTTGTTGGTACCAAAGGTGTCCTCTTAATAGTGGTTCTACTGTAATCAAAATATTTTCAATAATAGTTGCTTGTGGCCTTATATATGTGGCGTATAATGGGGAGTCACGGTGCACGGGGTGTGAAAGTGTTGGGGAGGGGGTAGAGGGAGGGAGGGGGTGTAAGTGTCACAGCATCAGTGGCATATTGGACGGTGTTTGAGTGAATCTCCTCTCTACTTTAAAGCATTAAAAATTTTGATTGTCAATATTGTTTAAAATATTGATCGGCGTTTGGACGTCTGCTGGACCAAACCACTTCATTTTTAATGAATCTGGCGTTCTCTATAATTCTGCACCAGGGATTCGAGAATGGGAGAAGGGGGATTCACGGGAGTCCAACGTTCCGTGGAACTGCTCATCTAGTTGGTGTCGCCTGAAACACGGCCCGGCTTTGAAACAAGCTGATATGAGAGAAAATTGGCGACACCTTAATGTAACTGTTATATAAACTTTCAAAAATGCTTACAATACCACACTTTCGTTGCAGAGGTAGTCATCTTTACCGCAATTACTACAACCCACTTTGAGGGCGATTAATATTCCAGCAAAAAATAGGCTTCCAATTAGCCATACAACCGAGATAACCACCATAATAATAGAAACAACGTTGACTGTTATCATCTTAAAAATAAAAATATCATTGTATAATCTATTGATTACTACGATAAAATGTGGTAAATGTTGTAGATCTTATACTATAACATTATTATTATTATTATTATTATTATTATTATTATTATTATTATTATTATTATTATTAATATTAATATTATTTATTATTATTATTATTTGTATCATTATCAGCATCATCGTCGACTTTATTATTATTATTATTGTTATTAATATTATTATTAGGCCTATTATTATTACTATAGTAGTAGTAGTAGTAGTAGTAGTAGTAATAACAGCAGCAGCAACACAGCAGTAGTAGTAGTCGTAGTAGTAGTAGTAGTAGTAGTAGCAGTAGCAGTAGCAGTAGCAGTAGCAGTAGCAGTAGCAGTGGCAGTGGTAGTAGTAGTAGTAGTAGTAGTAGTAGTAGTAGTAGTAGTAGTAGTAGTAGTAGTAGTAGTAGTAGTAGTAGTAGTAGTAGTAGTAGTAGTAGTAGTAGTAGTAGTAGTAGTAGTAGTAGTAGTAGTAGTAGTAGTAGTAGTAGTAGTAGTAGTAGTAGTAGTAGTAGTAGTAGTAGTAGTAGTAGTAGTAGTAGTAGTAGTAGTAGTAGTAGTAGTATATTTATTTATTACACATTTATTTTTTTTTTTCACAAATTAAAATAATAATTAAAGGCTCCTGCAGTATTCGGTAAATCTTCATTATTACATTGTCCCAGTATTCCTTTGCGTCCTCTGTGGATAGCTTAGTACAGATGATATCTTTTTTTAAAATAAATAAATCAATCAATCTAGTAGTACCCTTGACCTTTTTTCTGATTTTTACTTTTTTTTAATTAATATTTTAATTGATTCTTGATAGTGTAAAATAGTATAATACATACTCCAAGTATTGGAATGCACGCCATCGTGCTGGGGTTCAATATTTCGACATTAACTTTGTCATCATCAGGAATGCCTGATGATGACATAATTAATGTCGAAATATTGAATCCCAGCACGATGGCGTGCATTCCATTGGAGTACGGTGGCACATGCACACGATGGTGTGCATGTCAATACTTGGAGTACGGTAGCACATGCATACGATGGTGTGCATGTCAATACTTAGAATATGGTGGCACATGCATATGGTGTGCATGTCAATACTTAGAATATGGTGGCACATGCACACGATGGTGTGCATGTCAATACTTAGAGTCTGTCTCTTATACACATCTAGATGTGTATAAGAGACAGGAAATGGGTACCGGCATATGATGAAGGTAAAACAGACTTGAGCCCCCCCCCCCCCCACCAAACCCCACTGCCTGCAGAGAAACAGAGATTAGCAAGTTTGGCTCAGTGGCGTAATGGCGAGTCACGGGGCACGGGGTGTGGAAGTGTTGGGGGGGCATGTAAGTGTCACAACATGAGTGGCATATTTGTTTGAGTGAATCTCCTCTCTACTTTAAAGCATTAAAAAATTTGATTGTCAATATTGTTTAAAATATTGATCGGCGTTTGGACGTCTGCTGGACCAAACCACTTCATTTATAATGAATCTGGCGTTCTCTATATTTGCACTAGGGATTCGAGAATGGGAGAAGGGGGATTCACAGGAGTCCAACGTCATCTAGTTGATGTCGCCTGAAACACGGCCCGGCTATGAAACAAACTGATATAAAAAAGAAAATTGGCGACACCTTAATGTACCGTAACTGTTATATAAACTTTCAAAAATGCTTACAATGCCACTCTTTTCGTTGCAGAGGTAGTCATCTTTACCGCAATTACTGCAACCCACTTTGAGGGCGATTAATATTTCAGCAAAAATAGGCTTCCAATTAGCCATACAACCGAGATAACCACCATAATAATAGAAACTACGTTGACTGTTATATTCTTAAAAATAAAAATATCATTGTATAATCTATTGACTATTACGATAAATTGTGGTAAATGTTGTAGATCTTATACTATAACATTGTTATTATTATTATTATTATTATTATTATTATTATTATTATTATTATTATTATTATTATTATTATTATTATCATCATTATCATTATCATTATTATTATTATTATCATTATTATTATTATTATTATTATTATTATTATTATTATTATTATTTGTATCATTATCAGCATCATCGTCGACCTTATTATTATTATTATTATTATTATTACTATTAGGCCTATTATTATTACTATAGTAGCAGCAGCAGCAGCAGCGGCGGCAGTAGTAGTAGTAGTAGTAGTATATTTATTTATTATACATTTATTATTTTTTTCACAAATTAAAATAATAATTAAAGGCTCTTGCAGTATTCGGTAAATCTCCATTATTACATAGTCCCAGCATTCCTTTGCGTCCTCTGTGGATATAGCTTAGTACAAATGATTTTTTTTTTAAATAAATAAATCAATCAATCTAGTAGTATGCCTACCCTTGACTTTTTTTTTCTGATTTTTACTTTTTTTTAAATTAATATTTTTAACTAATTCTTGATAGTGTAAAATAGTATACTACATACTCCAAGTATTGGAATGCACGCCATCGTGCTGGGATTCAATATTTCGACATTAACTCTGTCATCATCAGGAATGCCTAATGATGACATAATTAATGTCGAAATATTGAATCCCAGCACGATGGCGTGCATTCCATTGGAGTACGGTGGCACATGCACACGATGGTGTGCATGTCAATACTTAGAGTACGGTGGCACATGCACACGATGGTGTGAATGTCAATACTTAGAGTACGGTGGCACATGCACACGATGGTGTGCATGTCAATACTTAGAGTACGGTGGCACATGCACATGATGGTGTGCATGTCAATACTTAGAGTACGGTGGCACATGCATACGATGGTGTGAATGTCAATACTTAGAATATGTATTATATTATCTTATCTGAGATTAATCAGTGGACCTTTTGATTCTTCATATTATACTGTGTTAAATAATTTATTTTGTCAATCTTTAATGATTGTGGTTTTATTATACACTCTACGATCAATTTGACTATAAATTATATGATCTATTATATACATATTATCAAAGAACTTAAATAGCAGAAGAATGAGCTGTTCCGCGTATTTGCATTAAAATTGATGGAACATCCGCCCTCCAGCGGATGCAGTAAAATTTGAACATTTTACTAAGTGGAGAAACTACAGGAAACAAACGAACCAGAGCGCCGCTTTTATTATTACTATATAGCGCCGCCGCGCGGATGCAGTAACATTTTTCTCCGTGTACCCACAATGCACATCGACCGGATGTTCCACTATTTTGGGAAGCTGCTCTATCTTCTGCTATTTATTATCTTTGATATTATGTAACTTAGTCTTTGTCATTGTTATTTGTTTGGGATTTTTTTTAAAGAATAAATTGAATTGAAAAACAAAAGCAACAAAAGCTACTTCTAGAATGTTTACTTACCCAACATCTATTTTCTGCATTGTAGGCAAAGATGAGAACGAGCACGCCCTCTGTTATCAACTTCAAAAAAGGAACATTAAACAAAACATTAACAAATGACATGTGCGATCGTCCATTTGATAGGATGTCTCAAATTAATCCACCTCCAACCACCCACCCCACTCCCAGTGCCACCACCAATGATGAAAATACAAGAGTACTTACATTCTAAATCCAGTTTCGCAATAAATGGCATTAATTTATGGGGGTTTTGATCGGTTTTTTTAAAATTAGCATTAAAAAAAAATGAATTGGATTCAATTTATTCAGTATAAACACCAAGGATAACCCACGAAAGTTTAAAGACTTATTTCCATTAGGATCCTTCTGGTGGTGATCGAATAGTCGCCGGGAGACAATCCCCTACTCTTTCAGAATCGTGTACTGGGTTCTTTAACGGCTTAAACGTTCCAACCGAAAGAAGACGGTGCAGTGTTTAACCGGTGTACTTGATGAGGTAGGCTTACAAATTCAATGTACCACTCACCATCGCTCTTCCGATATTTGCCGGACCACCAACCAGTGGCACAAAAACTATTGCCGCAATGATGAATATTATTCCAATAATGATCAGGATGATCGAAGCGACTTTGGCACTTGTCGATCCACAACATCCGCATCCGTTAAAGGGTTTACTCACTCCCGTAGATCTACATCTGTGTGCAAATCTGCTTTGAAACGTCGGGGAGATAGGGGAAGCAGTGACAGACCCCGAAATACGAAATAGAAAGAGTCCTGAGGGACTTTGCCGACAAACAATCCAGACCACTCTAACCATGATATGGGCTGAGGCACGCACGTTCACACGCACACAATATACCAACCATCATGCCTTCTTCCACACACACATGAAACGGCAACATGACGCAAGTGAATGCGTGAAAACAAATATCATACTAAATTACACCATATTAATCCATCTTGTTTTTGACAGGGTGAACTTATGAGTCGAACAAAAAATGTCCGTTTATGCTCTGATTTAGTTCTGTACTTAAAATTGTTCTTCGTAGACTTATGCCTATCAACAGACATTTTGATTTGGGGGGTTCTTTTTAGAGCAATTTCGTCTTAAGATATAGTTGTAAAGAAAAAGTTCAGTCACACTAAGCGATCCCAGCCCAGGACCCTGAGATTAGAAGAAAAGCAAATTAACCACTATATCCAACTCTTCTTAGAGTCAATTTCAACTATAAAAATAGTGAGGTTGTCATCGTGGATTTTATGGAACATAATCGACCGTTAATTTCTGTGTCTATCTGCCAGTGAATCCGATTCAAAATAGAGATACTCGACATAAGCAGATTCAAGGGCCCAGTCGACCCCCGACCAATTTTTTTTTTTTTTTTTTTTTTTTGGAAAAAAATAGGAGAAAGTTAATTTCAGTCTTAGTACAGTAGACCTTTCCGGTCATTTAGAAGTGCCATAGACTAAAATTTCCTATCTTCATGGACCCTCCATCAGTAAAATTCCGCTTCTTCCCCACCCCTCTCTTCGAGCCACTGCTCGACTGTTGATTCGAACATGACGTCGGCATTTTGGTGATTATAATTTCGGTATTGGTATACCCGGTTCTCTCTTCCTTTTTAGAGTGGAGTGTTTCAACAATGGCGTAGGCCTATGTATCTGGGGGATGCGCATTCTCCTCCCCAAAAAAAGCTCCCACTTCCAGTCATCTCCCCACCTTCACTGATGTCCGAAGCAAACAAAAACGCTCAATTAGTTAAAACCACCCCATTTCACCTGTTTTGCATCCCTCACTAAATAATCGATAACCCCTCAACCCTCGCTCCCCACACCTTTCGTCCCCACCCCATCTACTCCCCCACCCCAAGACTACTAGATACGCCACTGTGTTTCAATTGTTACAACAAACGGGTTTATTTGCAACCATGATTTATTTGTCAAAAACGAAGCCGGTCCTTTAGGTTATAGACAGGCATGTGAATTTTCGATTCTAGCTTTATTTCACATCTTTCTACAACGACAGGGGATGAAATGAATGCAATCGTTTTAGCGTCAATAAAACTGTTACAGTACATTGATACGAATCGCTGGTGGATTCACCGCTTCACGCATCGCTGGCACACAATTCAAAATACTGTAATTCGTCATCAGTGCACTTCGACACACTACATGTTAGACACCCACAACAGACCCACACATACAACACCGCAGAGACCGACCTATACATCAAAGTGTACACCATGACACGTATATGAAAACATATACCTACCCTGAAGTTTGGTAGAAAAATCAGTGTGAACAATAAGATAATAGTAATAAAAATAATAACTCCATGGTTATATACCATATGACGTCATATAAGAACAACGTAAAAACCCAGTCATCGATTCATTTTGCCATTTTCGCACAATCGTTCCCAAAAAAGCCCCCTATGTGTTTAGTACATTTACATCTCTTCTGCTTTTTGAACGTCATTTTTTATATTTATTGCAATTTATTTGGAATACTTAATTTTTTCCTGGTACAAATTTCCAAACTATTTTTTAAAAATGTGTTGATTCAATTGTATTAAGTCATGTCAAAGCTTACTGGATCCTTGTTTAGAAGTTTTTGCTTTCGACAACCAATCACCTTCATTCATGGATTTATGTCGCACACGTTTCCTTGTCATATGGGACATGTTTATTTGCAACTGCAAGATATTTTTTTATTAATTATTGCATGAACTATGTCACTAATATCCAGAACATGGGTCGAAATGATTTATTTGTGTGTTAGAGACCCCGGTATATTTTACTGAACCCCTTGATGTCCCCCTGGCCATTTACTGAAACCGTGAAGACGCTTACCGACCCCAGGGTGTCGATTGCTTCCAGGTTTAGAAGGTTCTGTATATCATACAAATGGTTCATATTGTGTTATGTAATTTTGGACTTGGATTTATAAGAAGGGAAATAGGTCTATGCTTCTTTTTTGACAATTTCGCATAATATTTTATAGAACATAATTAGAAATATGAAAGATAGAATATGATGGTAAATAATTTACAATAAAATAAGGACGGGATGTGGGTATTTTATAGTGAAATAAAAACTCTGAGTCAATATTTTACCGTAAAATATTGACCCGGGTCACTTTTCAAGTGAGTGGGTCAATGTTTTATTTCACATCGGCTTTTGAATCACTGCACTGACTACCCAATACCCAACTCAGTCTCGTGTAAAGCTGGGGAATTCTCACTGCTCGCCAATGGCCGACGCCATTTTTATGAAGAACGCAACGGCGACCAACGTTTTTGGCTACGTTCAGACTTGGGGATAAGCCGGGCTTGAGTTAAGCCCGACTTAACACATCTCTTCACTGAAAGCTTTGAAAGTTGCCTCTAAATTCTTTCTGCCAATTCATTGTTCTTTCTTGTTTTGTTTTGTTTGAATGAAAGGTAAGTTAAACATAAGAAAGGAAAAGGAAAGAAACGATATGGAATCATAAGAAAGGAAAAGGAAAGAAAAGAAAAAATAAGATAAGGAAACATAAGAAAGATGACAGTAAGAATGATAAGGAACATAAGAAAGGAAAGGAAAGAAATGAATTTGGAATCACAAGAAGGTACACTGAAAAAAAGATAAGAAATATAAGAAAGTAAAAGGAAATGAAAGATAAGCTAAGGATGAAAAAGGAAAAGGAAAGATATGGAAACATGTGAAGAGAAAAGAAAAGAAAGGAAAGATAGACATGGAAACATTAGAAAGGAAAAGAAAAGAAATGATAAGAAATATAAGAATGAAATATAACAGAGATACGAATTATAAGAAAGAAAATGAAAGAAAAGATAAGGAATCTAAGAAAGGAATGTGAGAGATAAGATAAGGAAACAAGAAAGGACAAGAAAAGTAAAGATCAGGAACATCTGAAGGGGAAGGAAGAAAGACAAGAAGCAAAAGGGAAAGAAAAATGAAAGGATTTGGGATGAATAAGAAAGTAACAGGCCTTGAAATGATTCCAATTACCAAAGCATTGTAATAATAACTTTTATTGATAATCATCAAACCAATCATTTGAACTTAATTAAACTAAACTAAAACCAAATATTTGATAAATATTTTTTTGGTACATTTGCATTTTTTTTTTTTTTTTTCTTCTTCTTCTCTGTTGTTAAGCACTTCGAGGTTGTGTCAACGTGAGGCGCTATATAAATCCAGAATTATTATTATTATTATTATTAACTTTGTCGGGCGTTCAGACTTGCGGGATTACACAGGCGCGAGAATTTGCATAATAATATGCAAATTCCAGGAAACGTGTTTCAAAATCATTGCTCGCGAAACGTACCTTGCTCACAGCGTACGTAATTGAATGCTGATTGGTCACCCGAAGTCAATGATGCCACTGACAATTCGTCGCACGACGGTCGTACGACGCAGAGAGTATCTGGCATTAAAATTAATTCTGCTTCTGTTGCATCTGAAGTAAAACATTTACATTATACACCAAAAGACAACTGCATTCTTTCAGTACAAACTACAGTTTTATTAAATATTTTACAAAAGTATAGGCCTAATGAAATAAGAAAATTGAAATAGGCCTATCGCATGTATAAAACTACCGATACATTCAATGGGCCTTAATGTATTTGATTTTGTAGGCCTCTTCTTACGTTTGATTGTTTCATAGATGGGTAAATTTGAAATCACAAATTTAAATTAAATATTTTACAAAAGTAAAAAAACTTTTTGATTGATAATTCTAAATGTTAACTATCTAAAACTACAATGCATTCAATAAAAATGAATACAAAATAGGTGCATTAATGTACGTCCACGTTGATGTTTAATGCATATTAATATTTTTGGTTCAGCAGAATAAGCAACGACCCAACAATAGCATTATATTGGGGCAGAATCCTGAAAAAATAAATATGAAAAATCGATTACCGTTCAAATGGAATTTTGTCCAACAAAACAAATTTCAGAATTACGGTATCATATAACAACATTTGAGTCACTCAATATTTCTATCAATACTACAGTATTATTTTGCTATTTAAATTCCTCGTTCATACGTAAACCATTATACAGTTAATATGTTTTTATGTTAACTACATAGTACAGAAGAAAAGAGCTTGGTGTTATTTTGTTTTCCTAAGATACCGGTATATGGTGTTTCTCTTTATCAATACGATTTTTGGTTCAATAATCGAGGATTTCAATTCAACTTAACATGTTTCTTTGCTAAGGAAATTTTAGAAAAACGTTGGACTCCAATTTTACATAAATATTATTATTTTTATATCCATTACCGCTACATTATATTATTATTATTATTATTAATATTATTATTATTATTATTATTATTATTATTATTGTTGTTGTTGTTGTTGTTGCTGCTGCATATACATTTTCAAATAGTAATAATAATAATGGAAATTATTATATAATTTATAATATTTGTATTATTTTTTATTTTTTTTATTTTCCAAAAACAAATACAACTGACAGACATCAATCGAATAAATCGGTTAGTTTGACATAAGAGGGGGTGGGGGTGTATCTAGTGAGTACCGTACATGGAGTATGTCCGTACAGGGTAGAGTGGTTATGTTTGAGGGAGTGTCTATGAGTTGTGAAGCGTTTGAATGATCTGTAATTGTATTTACCATATTTGATCTGCGGCAAGTACAAGATGAAACAATCAACACGATTGACGTCGCAAGAGTAATGGCTGATAATAGAACCATAAACACTAAGCTGGGGATAACATACTGAAAAGACTGCAAAATATAAACATTTAAAATTCTGCATAGTAGACAGTATTATCTATATAGAGAGGTAATTGAATCTTGTTTACTAATAATGTAGTTAGATTTATATAGCTCTTTATACCGCCTTAACCACTCGGCCATTCGACATGCCATTCTAATATTAATAAATTGTAGGCCTATGAAAAATTAATTATGTACTCAACAATATAGGCTAGACTTTAATTTTATACATATTAATTCTTATAGAGTAGAACGCCCCTCTTTTGGGAAACCCCTATTAAGTTGACTCTTCTTAGGCAAAGAGGGAAGTAAACTGCGGCAAATATCTATTCTGCGGTGGCTCCAAAATTTGCCGACAAGTGTCCTACATGTCCGACGGAGAGGTCCGAACTAAGGGGGCGACTAGAGTTCGGTCGGGATCCTGCAATAAAAAAAAAATCCCTGAAGGGTTTACGTGGAGAGTTTTTATGGCTTAGTATGGTCCAAATTGTACTTTTAGACCTCAATATTAGGGATTGGCAATCAAAATATGGTTATTTAGATAGGCAAATTATTATTTATCCTATTTTGATCCGACGACTTCGACGTATAGTGTCGGCCGACAGGGGGTCCAGGCCTGTCCTACGGAGAGGGGAATCCCTATTAAGGGGACACTTTTTAAGCAACTAAACGCGGGAAGTATATATTTTATACTGCGGCCAACACGCCAACCCCTATTCAGGGGATACCGGTACCCCTATTAGAAGGACACTTTTTTGGTCTCGAAGGTGTCCCCTTTAATAGAGGTTCTACTGTAATATAATTTTTTTTCACAAATAATTGTTTGAATTATACATGCAAGTCGCTTGTGATATTAGGCCTATAGATATTATATAATCTTCTGAAAATGCTTACAATGCCACAGTTTTCGCAGTAGTCATCTGGACCGCATGCATTGCAACCCACTTTGAGGGCGGTGAATATTCCAACAAAACTTAGGCTTCCAAGTAACCATGCAATCGAGATCACCACCATGATAATTGAAACGACGTTGACTGTTATCATCTTAAAAAATAAAAATATCATTGTATAGTCTAAATGACAACATCAGGCTTGTAACCAGCCCACAAGAGCAGAAGTGAGACCATTTTTACATTGTTTCAATTTTTTTTAATTATTATTAGTAGCAGTATATAAATAAAGAGACGTCTTCATATTTATTTCTATTGTTGCAGTTTCATAATAGTCATTATCATCATCATTATTATCATTATCATTATCATTATCATTATCATTATCATTATCATTATTATTATTATTATCATTATTATTATTATTGTCATCATTATTATTATTGTTATAAATATTATTACATCCTAAATACCATCACCAATATCTTTATGATCCTTGCCATATTAGCTATTATCATGACTCCTCAAGAAGAGACTCACAGCTAAAACACCACTAGTATACAATAAGTTACGCAACTCTTAATTCAAGGCTAGCTTTTTTTTATAAATTGAAACGGCTCCTGCAATATATGGAAAATCTCAATTATCGTAGTCCAAGCATTCCTTTGCGTCCTCTGTCGATATAACGGGACCCATCTTCCTCATTAAAAATTATAATAACCTGTAATATTTAAATAAATCAATCTAATAGTATCCTTGAATTATTTCTGATTCTGTTTATATATATTTAATGTGTTTCTTGCTACTTATTGTATTAATGGATTTATTTTGTCAATTTTGTTTTATGATTGATGTTTTATTATACTTTACTATCAATTTGACTTAAGTATATTTTATTGAATTTTAGCTATAATATACACAATATGTAATTTAGTCTTTATCACTGCCATTTTGTTTTTTTAATAAACTGAATTTAAAAAACGAAATAAAAACGAAAGCAGCAAAAGCTAGTATTAATCGAATCGGGAATAATTATGTACTTACCCAACATCTATTTTTCGCATTGTTGGCAAAGATGAGACCGAGCACGCCCTCTGTAATCAACTTTAAAAATGTATACAGTATTAAACAAAAATTTAAAAAGCGACATGTGTGATCGTCCATTTGATAGGATCTCTCAAGTCCACCCTTCCCCACTCCCAGTGCCTCCGCTAATTAGGAAAGTACAAGTATACTCACATTCTAAGTCCAGTTTTGCAATAGGGCTTAAATGATAGTAATTTACGGGCTGTTTTATTGTTTTTTCTTTGTTTCAGTTATCACTGATTAAAAAAAAAAACATTGTTTATTATTTTTTGTTTAAAAAATGGATTCAATTGGATTCAAGGATAACCCACGAAAGTTTCCATTGGGGTCTTTCTGGTGGTGAATGGACAGTACACCGGGAAACAATCCCCTACTCTTTCTGAAGAGTGATATTGGCTTATTTAGTGTATGCACATGAACCATACGGGACCAACAGCTTAAACGTCTCATCCAAAAGACAGAGGAGTACGTTATCTTCAAGAAATAGTATAAGGTAGGCTTAAAAAGTCAATTGTATAAGACCACTAACCATCACTCCAGCGACAATTGCTGGTACACCAAAAATTGCCGAGTCATTAGATGCAAAAACTGCGAAAACAACTATTGCCGCAATGACTGATATTATTCCAATAATGATCAGGATGATCGAAGCCACTTTGGCATTCGCCGATCGACAGCATCCACCTGACATTCTGTAAGCAAAATTATATACAGGTAGTTAAAAGGGAATAACTTACTCCCGTGGATCTTGGCTTAGCATGGTCCAAAATGTGCTTTTATAGCACAATAGGGATTGCCAGCCAAAATAACGTTATTTACACGGAGACGGCGTTGTGAGTACGCCGCGTGTGTGAACATTGGCTACCATTAGATAGGCAAATTATTATTTTTTAAATTTTTGATCCTACGACCTAGTCGTGCGTAGGACGACAGGGTATTCTAGGCCTGTGACGGAGAGGGGGATGTGGGGATGCCCACCCTGCCCCCCCCCTGCTAGCTCCACCTAAGGATGGGGCTGGGCTGAGAAAATTACCGAGCGGTAAGATGAATAGTAAGCTGAGGAGGGGATCTAGGCCCTTATCCAAGGGGGAAGTGGGGTTAGGACGCACCCCGCCGCAAATAGAAAATCCAATAAATGTCTTTAAAAAACACATGCAGAAGCTCTTGTGTGTTAAGTAGGCGCACGCACGGTCACTCGCACACAACACATCAACCATTTATTCCTTTCTTTTGGGTGAAAACAAATATCCTACTTCAATACACCAATACTAACCCACCTTGTTTTTTGACTGCGTGAATTTGTGTCGAACAGACGTTACAATTGCCGTTTTTGTTTTGATTTCAATTCCGTCATAATTGCTCCTCGTAGACCTATCAGTGACCCAAGCTCACAAAAGGGCTGTAAACTCGCACTGCACTGTATTGAGAAACAAGCCTCCCTAGCCAGAATACTATAGCCCGTAGAACGTGAATTTTGTGTAAATTGGGTTTTTGTGTAATAAATAAAGTACAACTATTAATCTTACTATTTCTGAAGTTTGAGTTTAATATTATAACTCTAAGAGGTAAAATTTAGCCATTTTCGGATGGGAGCTAGTGAAAAATAAATAGAAACCTGCCGCAAGTAAAAGTATTTTTCTCAAACTTGATTTAAGAAAGTTGATAAGATGACGATAATTCAAACGGTCATAACTTTGCTTCCAGACACCCGATTGAGTTCATTTAACTGTCATTCTAAAGTAAATGATATGCTCTATGCCATTAAAAAATCATTTTGGCCTGAGGACGAGTTTACAGCCCGTTTGTAAGCTTGGGTCACGCCCAGCCTCTGATTTGGTCACCGTAAAATACCTTGAACACTTTAGTGATACCTTTAGGTCAGGTCAATGGCTGTAGTCGGACTGACGTCACTTTATTGTTATGGTTAACGGACTGACTATGAATTTGGTGAACAAGGATGTGGTGCAGGCCTATAAAGGCTAGTAAAAAACTCTTTGCAAATTTCAAGGTTAGATCAGCTAATAGTTTATCTTAAAAAAAACCGTAAAATACCCTGAAAATTTTAGTTGTGTATCTGTATTTGGTGAACAAGCGTCTGTCCCTCCCCATTTTCATTGATCCGCCACTACCTTCGTCTTGAACCTGAGTAGGCATTTCGGTAATTTTAGTTCTGGTATTGATAGCCGGTTCAGTCTTCCTCTCTATAGTGAAAGTGTTTCAGCAGTGGAGTATGCATCACCTCCACAAAATCTCCCCTCCCCAAAAATCTCCTCTCCCCAAAATATCCTCCCCCAAAAATGCTTCTCCTTCAGTCACCCCACCCCTACTGAAAATGTCCACAGAAAAAACCCTACGCTCAAGTACTTAAAAATAACCTCAATATCACTCTTTTTTCGAACTGTCCCCTCACTAAATCATCGATCCCCAACTCAGCCTTCATGCCCCCACCATCAGCTCCCAATCCCAAGCCTCCAAGTACGCCACTGTGCGCCAACTGCATTACAATAACAAAGGAGTTTATTTGCAATCATGACTCATTCGTCATTCGCTAAGTGAATTTTACGGATTTTGAATGGTCTAGGGGTGTCATTGGGTCTTTTATTCAACATTTATGGATATCCATAATATTTATGTATATCCATAAATCATTTATGGATATCCATGAATCAAGTGATTTATAGATATCCATAAATAATTTTTGGATATCAATAAATCAGATATACAAAAATGTTGAATAAAAACCCCATTAACACCTTAAGGTGTCAATGGTATTTTTATTCAACATTTATGGATATCGAAAAAAAAATCATTTATCATTTATGCATAAATCGTTTATGGATATCCATAAATCAATTATGGATATCAATAAATCATTTATGGATATCCATTAAGTGAATTATCGATGTCCATAAATATTTTTTGGATATAATTATTTGGATATCGGATTTTTGAACATTCATAAATGTTGAATAAAAACCCTATTGACACCTTAAGTGTTAATGGGGTTTTTATTCAACATTTATGAATGTACAAGCACTCCAATGAATATTGAAACACTCCAACGAATATAGAAACACTCCAACGAATATAGAAACACTCCAACGAATGTACAAGCACTAACGAATATAGAAACACTCCAACGAATGTA